TCTAAACCATCTTGTTGTTAATTTAATTTTAAATGTATCCATCTGTGGGCCTTACTATGTTTACATGTGATGACAATTTAGTCTAAATTTAGTGTAATTAACACACTGTGTGCAAAACCTCTCAAACAAGTTTGTCAATATCTTGCATTTCACCCTGTCGCTCAATTAATTTAGTACAAAATTGGCCAGGTTTACGCATTTACATTTATTTAGCATTTGCTGTTACACAAAGCGACTCACAAATGAGGAACACCTGAAAAATATCTTAATAAAGATCTTAATGTTTAAAATCTGCTAGAGAATATTGTGACGCACAACAGCAAGACTTTGAAGAAAACATGACTAACAAAACTTCCATCTCTGCTCTGATTTTTGTGTGTGCTAGTCTACCACTGCATTACGGGGCACTCTCACCATAAAACACAACTAAAACAATAGGACTGCTGCATTTATGTTGTTGTTATAATTTTGGTGATAAAACAACTTACAAGCTTAATCATGCAGGTGAGGCACAGTGCACAACTTGCTGATGTAGATTTATGGAGACAAAGTTACAAAGTTGAACTTTTAACAGCATATGCAGCACATTGATTGATATACATTAGCTTGTCTGTTTACTTCTTCTGTCCTCAACCAATCAGCATGCAGCATTCCATCGCATCGCTGCGGGATGCACTCCCAGGGTTGTTATGCAATGGCAATAATGTATTACGAAGAATAAAACCACATGATCCACAAAGTTTGTTTATTGCCCTCTCTGCGCTTTGAAATGTTTTTCTTGTCTGGGAATGACTGTCATGTTGACATTATCATCTGTTTGTCTGAATTGAAACAGATGGCTGGTTTACTGAACTCTGTTACAAGTGCACACAGTGTAAGGCCATTTGAAGAAAGGTGTGTTCCACAAGATCCACACTAGTTTTGGCCCACATATACATTAGTCTGTTTACTTCTTCTGTCCTCAACCAATCAGCATGCAGCATTCCATCGCATCGCTGCGGGATGCACTCCCAGGGTTGTTATGCAATGGCAATAATGTATTACGAAGAATAAAACCACATGATCCAGAGTTTGTTTATTGCCCTCTCTGTGCTTTGAAATGTTTTTCTTGTCTGGGAATGACTGTCATGTTGACATTATCATCTGTTTGTCTGAATTGAAACAGATGGCTGGTTTACTGAACTCTGTTACAAGTGCACACAGTGTAAGGCCATTTGAAGAAAGGTGTGTTCCACAAGATCCACACTAGTTTTGGCCCACAACCAGAACCGTACAGTGGCCAGATTTCAATATGACCTATTTCTACGTGGTTTATGTGAGCATGTTGATGATTCCTCCATTGGCACGGAGCTGTGTGATGAGTCTCTTTCTCAGGAGAGAGTATATTACATAAGCCTTCAGTCTCTTTCTCTCGCTCCCTTAACAACCTTGGCATTCATCCCAGATGTCACACACACATGGGTATTGGAGAGTTTGTATAGACAAGCTTGTACTGTTGTCATTTTTGCGATCTTTTTCTTTATCTTGAAAGAGAGGGAAAAGCTATTAACAAGAAACAACTCCTTTGAACTTGGTGCCAGTGTCATGTTTTTGGACAACAGTACTATTATGGCAATACCATGGTATTCTATTGAAGCCATGTGAATAAGCGGTGTATGAATATGGAGATAATTTAGTACTACTATATACATCAAAATGCCATTGATGTAGAATTTGTGTACTGCTTTGCACTATATTTTTGAAGCAATTTGTAATATTTAATTTTAATCGTAATTTAACAATGATTTTAGATTTAAGCTCAAATTTTAAAAGTATTTTTAGACAACTTGTAGAACCAAGTAAATAAGCAGTGTATGAATATGGGGATCATGTATATACATCAAAGTGCAATTGTACTGTTATGTACCACTTTGCACTATATTTTAGAAGTAATTTAAATTTAAACCGTAAATACTATTTTTAGAATTTTGGTTTAAGATAAAAAGTCAAATATTTGTTTAAAAAACATGGAGAACCATGCAGATAGACAGTGTATGAATATGGAGAATATTTAGTATCATAATACATCAAAGTGCAATTGTACAGCAGAAGTCTGTTTTGTGTAGTATTTTGCATATTTTGCAAGACGTAATATGTTTAATAGTAATTTAATAGTATTTTTTAGATTTTAGGTTTGTAATTTTAATAGTATTTTTAGAAAACATGGAGAACCCTGTAAATAAGATCATGTATATCAAAGTGCAATTGTACTGTTATGTACCACTTTGCACTATATTTTAGAAGTAATTTAAATTTAAACCGTAAATACTATTTTTAGAATTTTGTTTTAAGATAAAAAGTAAAAAAAATTTTAAAACATGGAGAACCATGCAGATAGACAGTGTATGAATATGGAGAATATTTAGTATCATAATACATCAAAGTGCAATTGTACAGCAGAAGTCTGTTTTGTGTAGTATTTTGCACTATATTTCAGACGTAATATGTTTAATAGTAATTTAATAGTATTTTTTAGATTTTAGGTTTGTAATTTTAATAGTATTTTTAGAAAACATGGAGAACCCTGTAAATAAGCAGTGTGTATGGAGATCATTTAGTATCATTATGCATTACAACAAAGTACCATTGTACTTTTGTGTACTGCTTTGCGCTATATTTTACAAATAATTTTAGATTCTTAATAGCAATCTAATAGTACATTTTAGATTTGACATATGTTTTAGTATTTTTAGAAATATAAAAGAAGTAACAATCACTAATTATTCATACCTGTGTAAATGTCATTAGCCTGGAGCTCAAGACTTCAAAACCTCCTTTTATCTACAGATATAGAGCAGGACTTCCCTTATATATTCCACATAATAATAGCAAGTATAGCACCATGTTTTATTTATGAAACTTTGAGCTCTCTTCTCATCTGATTTATTCATGACTCACACACATATGCCACAAAATACACTATTCTAAATAGTGCCTTGGGAACGAGGTAAAGCTTATGAGGACTGTGTATGTGTGTATGTGTGTGTGTGTGTATATATATATACATAAGATGCCTAAAGGTTAAAACTGCATGAGCCGGAGAGGACATATTGTCTCCAAAAGCTTTTATACACATACACACCCACTCCCTCTCTGTTATACACACATATGCCCCCAAACATTGAGTCCATTAGTGACATCCCAACTCGCACACTGTCCTGCCTTGGTTTTAAGCTATGAATACACTCTTACGTATGCAAGAGCTACATCACAGAAAACCTCGGGACACACAGAGGGAAGTCGGGGGGAGGGGATCTTGTGATCCCCAGAATGCTCTTTACATCATCTCTCCTGCTTCATTGCATAATGTAGCAAAAATATATATGTGAAAGTCAGCTAGAAAGACTCTGACAACAGAACAGCACCGCTGGATTGGTGTTCCGTGTGTCTTTCTGTCTCAGTACGGGAATTTGAGATTAGTGCTTTCTTGCAGGGTTCATTTGCCCCCTAATCATTTTAAGAAAGGGTGATGGAGACGGTGATTGGATCGATGTTTTGGCTTCGCTTTCAAGTATTACAACAAGGAATTTACATGGAAAGTTGACACAGTGTTCCCGCAGTGTGATATAATAAGCTTGTACTAAACAACATTTTTTGTACATTTGGCAGACACTTTTATGCATAATGACTTGCACTGTATTTAAGGCGTACATTTTTTTATCAGTGTGTGAATTCCCTGGGAATCACATCCATATATGACCTTAATGTTAGTTTATTAATGCATATATAATTATTTATGCACCTCATATTGAGAGACTACATGGAATATTTAAGAAAATGCATTTTAATAAGCTACATAAAATACTCAAAATGTTGCAAACCTAAAACTTTACAATTGAAACATAATTTAGTAAAATTACAATCGATGTTAAATAACATAAGACTGCACAATAATCTAATATCTAAACTATATAAAATCTACTGCTCTACCGTTAAATTGATCAAAGGCACTGGTACAAAAATGCGGTTCTTTTGAACACTTCATTAAAGTATCCTGAAAAAAATGTACCACGTTTTTCAAATAAATATTAAGCATCACAACAGTATTTAACATTAATAATAATAAGAAATGTTTTTTTGAGGAGCAAATCAGCATTTAAGAATGATTTCTGAAGGATCATGTGACACTGAAGACTGGAAATTCAGCTTTGCCATCACAAGAATAAATTACATTTGAAATATGAAAGTATATATTTTTAACTGTAATGATATTTCACAATATTTCTGTTTTACTGTATATTTTATTTTAAAAAATGAAGCTTGGTGGGCATAAGAGACATTCAAAACATTAAAAAAATGTCACCGACCCCAAACTTTTGAACAGTAGTGTTTATACAGGCACTTGATCTCACGGCCATCAAGATCATCCTATAGAAATGAAGCAGTGATTCAAACATCACATTAGCTCCTGGTCTCTTGTGTGGCCGTGTATGTGTCTGTTGTCTGTGTGTTTTCAAACACACGCTGTATATAATTATGCCTGATGGCAGAGGGTAATCTGCAGCAGCATATCTCCTCTCACCATGAGATCAATGTTTTCAGTATCATATTACATTAAGCCTGCCTATGATGGTTAAATAATAATAAACTATTTAAAAATGAATGGTGTCCCTTTAAAAAAAATCAAATGCTCATCAGAGAAAACTGTACAAGTGCAATTTTGTCCATGTCTTTCCTTTGTTTTTGCTTATTGGACATTTTCCTTTCTGCACTGAGATGATGATGGTGTGAGTTCCCAAAAGCCAATAGTTCAGCATTATTTTGTATCCTTTTTTTTTTTTTTTGATTATGTAATGTTTGTAGCCTCCTCAATAGCAGAGTGAAGCACCCCTTCTTTTGACTGATGGTTGGCTCCTCAGTGTGAGTGTGTGTGTGTGTGTGTGTGTGTGTGCAGTGTGCACAAGCACCGCCCATACTTCAGCTCTATTCATAGCGAGAGCGAGGGAGACGCAGACTCCCACCTCGCAGTGAGAACAGAACAGCGTCTAACCGGGCTTACGTTTCTCTTCCATACGCCGCGCGTTGCTCACGGGGCGCGGATACAGGGTTGCAGCTGGCGTCGGGAGCTCGAACCTGCGGAAAGGACACGGATCCAGGACCGGGACTGACCCTGAGGATGATGAAGGTGAGGCTAACTGTGATGCTCCCGTGAGCGCCATTCTTCTGGCTTCCGACGATCTCTGTTAATGTATACGAAAAAAAGGGGGGCTGTCTTTTTTTTGGCGATGGTGGATACACACGAGCAGAACAGAGGTCGCGAAAGCGCGGAGTGACATCTCGGCATCGTGAAGTATTCTTCGTTTTATTCACCGGGGAGGCTGCGAGCTAATGGACTTTCCCCCTCGCGCCGCTCTCCATCCGCCTGAGCGGAGAGAGTCGCACCGTTCCAGTGCTATGGAAACTGGAGAGATGGAGCAAGCGCACTACAGAGGGGGATACCCAGAACCTCAGCGCCGCCTCGGGCTGGTCAATGACGTTGGTATATTTTGCGCTCTCCTAAATGTGTCACGGTGTCCGTTAGAAGCTGTTCACCTTTGATTTAAGCGTGCGTGCGCAAAAGCCGTTCGGTTTTTTGCCTCCGTCGCTTCGTCGTGGCGGATTCTGACGCGAGTCCGCGTTTTCTCGTTTATTGATTATGAGCGACCGGTGTTCTGTAGTCAAGCGCCGCTTCGTTCATTTTTACAGACATGATCGTTTGTGCTCAGTTTATCGGTGTCAAGCGCGCACGCTGATTTCGCGGTCGACGAGACTTGCAAGCTAGGCCGGCGATGACGTTGAGAGGATAAAACCCGGACAAAATGAAAGAATTGAAAGAATGCTCGCGTGTTTTCTTTCCTTGAGGTGTGTCCTCGAGCTGATCGCAATGAGACGCTCCGATGATCACAGGTGCCTGGCGACCACGTCCTGGTGCCTCTCACATCTTTCATTTCCTCTGCACCACCCTACACCATCTCTGGTTTCTCTAATGTTTAACAGTTCTGGTCTATTATAGAGAAGCCACTTATCATCTATTGACCTATAAGCACACTACACTTTTTTGCTATTGAGGGACATTTGAATGAGTATGGATGTATTGTGAGATCAAACAATGTATCCAGGCAATTAGTTGCACCTGAATGGTCATATACTGAGGCCATGCCTTGTTATTGCACACCCCATTCATCCAAGGTTCAGGTTATAAACACGAGAGAAGTTGGTGTTAAACCTGTGACATTCCTTTGCATGGTTTGTTTTAATTAGATTTCACATGCTTCTTGTGCAGGTAGATGCTAGACTGTAGTAGGGGAGTGTTGTAATGAATTTCGTTTTAAAGCCTGCAACTGAGCGTTTTTGCAGAACAGTTTGTCCCTAAACTGTGTAAAGTACACTGGACATTTGAGATTTTTTACATATATCAAATATACTTTTTTTTAAAAATGATTATGCCTTGCACTTTATTTCCAAATGGTAAAAAAAAAAAAAAAATCTAAGTTTTGAACAGTAAACCAAAATATCATCAATATAGACATAAATGAAACAGGCTAACAATTCGTAACTGACACTGTTTGTTTGCGTTCATATGTAATTGTCACAAATGGGACTTTAACACTTTGTTGGTTCAGTAGAAGTTGGTCAGACATGATTCTTCTATGTTTTTAAATGTAGATGAAACTTTTGTGTGGATGTTATATTTAAAATGAAACAAGAGACCCAGCTTCAGTGGATATTATGCCAGCTCAAATGTGACCCTGGACACAAAACCAGTCATAAGAGACACATTTCTGAAATTGAGATTTATACATCATCTGCAGGCTGAATAAATTAGCTTTCCATTGATGTATGGTTTGTTAGGATAGGACAATATCTGGCTGAGATACAACTATTTGAAAATCTGGAAAATTGCCTTTAAAGTTGTCCAAAGGAAGTTCTTAGCAATGGATATTACTAATCACAAATTAAGTTTCGATATATTTACGGTAGGAAATGTATAATATGTCTTCATGGAACATGATCTTTACTTAATATCCTAATGATTTTTGGCATAAAAGAAAACAAATTATAAATCAGATGTGCAAAATGTTCATACCTCACAATAGGTTTGTAAATTTCCTGTAAATTTGAGCTATTTCTATACAGACTTACAGACTCTACTTCCGCCTCAGAGCAGTGATGCCCATGTATGACAAGGATTTCATCATTTCTTATTGGCTAAACTGATGGTGTTCCAACATGCGTATCCTTAACCTGACCCCTTCTAGAGGACAGACAGGCGTTTGGCTATTCTCATTAAAGATGATTACGGAATCACTGCCATCAGCTAAAACATGAATCAGCTGAATCATTCCCTTGAACTCATGTTGCTCAAACCATCAGCCTTAGTGTTTCGTGTGTTCGTGCTGCAAGCGCATATTTGCAGACTGGGGTTTTGTTGTGCGTTGGAGCATAATGGTTCGGATGCATCCCACTGAAGTGCTGAAACCGTTGACTCACTCTCTCTACGGAGAAGCAATATTGCTCCCGAAAACTTCACTGATGGCGTGCTGCATCAAACTCCGTAATACTTCTGCTGGACACTCAAAGCCACAGTACATTAGCTCTATACAACATATACACTCCAAGAAAAAAAGGTACAAAAGCTGTGACTGGAGCGAAAAGTAAATGTATTATTTAGATACTAATATACACTTTAGGTACTAATTTGTACCTTCATGGTACAAATAGGCATCTCTTATGGATAAATAAGGTACAAAGATGTACCTTTTAAAATACTGTCAATAGGTGTACCTTTCGACAGCTTTGTACCTTTAATGACCTGTTTTCATTTTAAAACACAAGGGTTTGAACCCTGTAACTGCTTTATTAGCTGTGTGTTTTTTTCTCTTTAAAGCAAAGTAAACATTGATAGCTGTAACTGGCTTGTGATAAGAAGCCACTGTCACACCAAACATATTAAGCACTGCGTTTATGTTCTGTCATTTAATATTAGAAATACCAGACGGGAAATTTTAACATATTGTCACATGTAAAGCGGTTGTACGCACACACTGCAATTATGCATTGAGACATCACAATACCGACACCGACTGTCATTCTGTATTGCCAGGCTATGGCAGGATATTTCCCTTTTGCATTAGCATGCAGTCCTTGTCTCCCAACAGGTCTGATGCACCTGTTAACAGTGAAGGGAAGTCTGGGAAATGTACTGCCAGTGCAAGAGAGCGACTCGGACTTAATGTCGCAAATGAGATCATGTAGTTTGCGTTATATGCCCTGGAGACAGATTCTCTGCCTTCTTTAAGTGCGCAATCTCGCGTGAGTGTATATGCGCATGTTGGCGTATTCATTAAAACAGAAGCTTACGGATTCACTTTACATCCTACTCTCGAGACGCCAGCAGCCTTTAATCCTGTCCTCTGTAGCCATCTTAAAATGCGCTAGATTCAGCTCGGAAACTCTTACGTAAAAGGTGATTGCTCAACAACTGATATATGGAGGTTTTCTAGATAGTATGGCGCTTCTGACCTCATGGTGCACATTTTAGGGGTGCGTTCTGGCCTTTCAAATTAGCGGCTTGAGGTTTCAGGACCGTTGCACCGAGCTGATGTACGACATTCACATGGAGAGGCATGTGCATCCAAAAATATGACTACGTAAGTGTGGGAAAGAGCGGGAAAACCAAGAGAATGGCCAGATTTAGAAACATCTGCACTGGGAGCGTAGGCTGGGAATCCACCCACCCACACACAAACACGCACACACACACACGGCTTCATGCGAGCTGTATCACACACACGTATCTTTTGCATCTTTCATGGCTGAAAGGCTTTTGTGCATTTTCTCCGCTCGTGTTTGTTTTAGGAACCATGTGGGCAGGCAATGCTGCATGAGTTTAAAGCATTTATAATCTAAATTTAGACCTCAAGAAAAGTGCCAAATGTTTTATCAGGATGATTCATATCAAGGAATATCAGGCTTAAGCAGCATCATACGGCTAAGCAGCTCAGACTCGAGGAGTTGCTTAAAACATTCGGTTCATGATGTTACTTCACTGTCTGCACATTTCATTTCTTTTATTATCTCTCCCTGCAAGATATGATGAGAATTAATGGCTATATGAGTTTGTTTGTGTGTGTATGCAGTTATGAGAGCTTAATCCATAGCGTAGCAGTCTATTTTAATGCACTCTCTCTCTCTCCACGTGCTTTCTCCAGTTCTCTCTCCTAGACTCCACTGTACTCCGATTACATAATCGTCCTCCCCAGTCAGGTGTGTGTGCGTGTGTGTCTATGGTGAGGCAGCATCCTCTGGTCTCTTAGATGTTCTGTTTTCCTTTTCCCCTTTTCCCTTTTTTGCTGAGCTATAGCCCTCTGAATTATAGGGCTGTTCTTTCTGTAGTGCAGTAATAATGATACTGAATGAAAGAGGCACTTTAGTTTCTTAGTTTCTGCTAAGACATCCAGAGCTCTTTATTTTGTTGAAGGGAACTCAGGTGAGCAGCACCTGGATGGAGTGATGGCAGTCAGTGAGAGCTAAAGTGCTGACCTACAGCAGCTGTTCTGTTGGAGGGGTGGAGATATTCGATTATTGGACATGGAATGTTGTTAGAGGGCCTAATGGGTCATTTGGACCAGATGTTGAGGTAGACACCCTGTTGAGTGTTTTTAGCCTCTGCTGTGCCATTTGTCCAAAGAACCGCAGCTTTCTTAGAGCAGAGGGAGCTAGTGAGGGGTCATTTCCTTCCTGAAAACGAAAACAAAATCGGTTTGAAACTTGGATACATGTAGATTCAAATGAGGTTGATGATTGGCTAGAATTGTAGAAATGGCAGCACTAGCTGGACTCTGTTAAACATATATCCATCCCCTCACTATTTGATATTCTTGATGCTGCTCTGTTTTTTATTGCTAAGATGACAAAGAGTTTTTAAATGTGTATTTTTATGCTGGTCTACCTCAGAAGTCTAAGAGCGCTTGTTAGTGACAAAATATTTGAGATGGCCAATCAAATCAAAGAAGACTGGCGTTTAGGGCTGTCAAAAAAAAAATTTGAATTTCGAATATTCGTCGAATTTAAAAAAAAAAAATCCACATTCGAATGCAAAAACGTTGCATTCGAATTTAATTCGAATGCATTCTGAATTAAATT